GACAAGGTCATAATACAGTTCGGCACTCTGTGATTTAACAGACAATATAACAATGGCACTTGATAACCAAAAAGCAGTAGCTCTCATACTTCTTGACTTTACTAAAGCATTTGACACCATTAATCACTCACTTCTTGTATCTAAATGCAGTTATTATGGATTTTCTGAAAAACCTCTTTCGTTTATTCAAACCTACCTTGAAAATCGGTATCAAAAAGTTCGTCTAAATCAACAGTACTATACGGAAAAAAAAATTTGTTCTGGTGTACGACAGGGATCAGTCTTAGGACCGCTATTATGTTCATTATATATCTCAGATTTAAAAACAGAGGTAAAATCCTGCAGCATACAATTTTTTGCAGATGATACTCAAATTTTCTATTCATTTAGGAGTAATGACTTGGAAACGGCAAATAATATAATTAATCAAGATCTTGCCCAAATTGAAAAGTTCAGTAGTAGTCATAATCTTCGTTTGAACCCTTTGAAGACAAATATGTTGGCATACGCAAATAGGACAAAAAAGAATACCTTAAAAAAGGACATAGACATACATTTAAAAGGTAATAAATTAATTCCTGTGGATCATTCGAAAAACCTAGGTATTGTAATGGATGATGACTTAAAATTGGTTGCGCACGTGAACTATCTAATTACTCAGTGCTACGCTATTCTCAGAGTTTTATTTGCAAATAAGGCTATATTACATAAATCTGCGAGAAAGCAATTGTGTGAATATTTCGTGTTTTCAAAGATATCGTATTGCTTTAGTGGTTTACTATCATGTGCAGACCTGTAAATGATCTCAGAAAATATGATCATAATTATGTCGAATGCCATTAATGAACTCGAATGGATGAAAACTGATAAAATGTATAAGTACCAGCTCCTAAATCTGACACATAAGGTTCTTTATTCAAAAACACCGTCATATTTAGTTCATACGTAGAGGGAATATGCATCGTATTAATATTAGATATAGAGAGACTTTTTCAATTCAACGCCACAGCCCGTCTCTATTTCAGAATACATACATTTACAATGCGATCAAATCATATAATTCTTTAGACCGCAGTTAAAAAGAAACCAATCCATTATCCAAATTCAAGAAAAAAGTGAAAGAAGTTCTTCTTGATCAGCAGCGAAATCGGTTGTAACCCATAAGTGTCCTCATATTTTCGTTATGTATTTACTTGGATTATACTTTATTATGTCGTTATTGTATACAGGTGCCTATTTATTTTCAACAAATTCTTTTTTTTTACATCTCGTATTGTTAAGGGGGTTAGATAGTAGAATAGATATATAATCTAAATCTCGCCTGCTGTAAGAACATTATAAATAAAAGACGTTAATTATTATTATTATATTATCCGCATAGTAATTGAAGCTGCAGTTAAATAAGTTTGAATGTTTTCTGATGAACATGACAAGTGAAATGTAGTACAAAGATGGTGCAGTTAAAAAACTTAACCTCTTAAGTACTACAAGATGCATGATGATGCAGCATATAAGCCTTAAGCATACACTTACTGATACGTTTCTGAGCTTTACACCTAAAACTGATAAGACGTAATGAACACCAAAACCTAATACTACAATGCATTCAAAGACTGAACTGATGTACACTAAAATTGACGAGTTGCAATCGAAGACGACGTGTTAAAGCACCTACGGGACATGTTTTTAATATGAACTACGGTATAGTGAGCAAGTGCCATTATAGGTCTACTTCAATCTGTAGAAAGGGAAAGTAGATATCAATCTTCCAGGCTATAACGTGCATATTCCATCAGAGCTGGATAGGTCGATCAGTATGATTGCATTTGTTTGGTTGTAATGGCTTCTTTTGAATTCAGGTATCAGTTTTATCCAATGCAACACAGAACACAAAAAGGATAGCCACGTTTACTTCTCACGCATATTGGCGAGGAAGTATTGTAATCGCGAAACATTCCGAAAATGTGATATTATGTTTTTTGGATGTTATATGACATACACATCACGAAAAACCATGTCACTCATTTCCGTCGGTCTACCTGTCTGTTTGTCTGAGGGTCTGTCCGCTAATCTTTTAACCGCCTATAACTTGGAAAGTACTGCTAGGATTTGGATTAAACTTTCACAACTAAAAAGCTTTGTAAATCGTTAAGGAATTTATCAAATTATGAAGCTTGGAAATATTCATCAATTTTTTTTTTGTTTGAGGTTGTTATAACGCGAGATCAGAGCTTTGTCCCCCAATCCTCTCAAAAGTAAAAGTTTGTTGTAGGATGTACCATTCTCTTCAGCCCATTGTAAACCTAGCTCAAAGGCGTTAATTGCGTCTTGTGCTGTGACTTGTGGAGCAGTTGCTATCACGTCGTCGTTATTTTCCTGATTGTTTGTTGTATAATTAGAAACCTCTTTTATAATCTCTTCGTCAGACATTTCATGAAAAACATTTTCCTCTTTATCCATTCCACGGCACCAGATTTCCAAATCTTCCGGATTTATCTGTGTTTCAGTAGCGACTTGTTCTATAACTTCCGAAGTAACACTGATTTGTGGAACGTTGCTAGGAGTGGTGACTATATCTGGCCATAACTTTTTCCAAGACGATTTAATAGTTGATGACGGTAACGCATTCCACGACTGACAAGGAGCAAAAACCAAGTCTTTCATATTAAATTCTTTTACAGTTTTTTCTATTGGTTGGTCTTTTGATACGGCTTTCAGAAGTAGGTTTTTCTTATAGTCTTGCTTGACAAACTGAATGATATTCTGGTCCATTGGTTAAATCAGTGCAGTGCATTTGGCGGAAGAAACATCGCAGTGATGCATTTATCCTCAGTTGTTAGTTCTTCTTCAGAGGGATGACCGGGAGCGTTATCAAGAAGCAACAATGCTTTTTGAGAAAAATTATGATCTTTTAACCATTTTCTAACTTCAGGTATGAAGCATTCATCAAATCACTTTTTGAAAAGGTCTTTTGTCATCCATGCACTTTTTTGTCCGTAATAGTGTACAGGTAAATCAATGTTTTTGAATGCCCGTGCTTTATTAGATTTCCCAATTACCATCATCTTAAGCGCGTGTGTGCCCGCAGCGTTAGCACATGGTAGTATGGTTACACGCTCTTTACTTACTTTTCGTCCAGGTACGGATTTTTTTCTTAATTTAAAGGGCTCTAGGCAGGTGGCATCGTTAGAAAGTTTATCTCCTGTAATATTCATTAAACGTATGCCATGACGACTTTTAAAACGTTCTAGCCATTCTTTGCTGGCCACAAAATCATCTTGTTTTGTTATTTCCTCATAAAAAAACTTAGCTTTCATGGCCAACATGGGTCCTGAAATTGGTGGATGCCTATTTCTTTCCTGAAGAAACCACATGTACAAAGCTTCTTCCACTTCTGGATGTTCAGCTTTCTTGAGTATCTGTCTCTTGCCTGGCCCGCAGTCAGTAGTTGACCCGAACTTCTTGATCTTCTCGTGGTTTCTTTTAATGTCATAAATCGTAGATCGGCCTACGCCGTATTCAGTTGCTAAACTACTGAAAGTTTCATTGCGATTTAAGTGGTCTAAAATATCACATTTTTCTTTAATTGTCAATGTTTTGTGCTTTCCCTTCTGAGTTTGTGATGACATTACTAGGTACTATACTTAATACACAATAAATAAATAGCAAACAATGAACGCACGCTAGGTCGTACCGCTATCACCAGTAGTCAGATTCAAACTAACAAGTTGTAACCTGTTTAAACCTGCGTGATCTACATTAGCGAAGATTGTCAATTATGTATGTTGTAATACATAATCAAAGACATGTCAAATTACAGGGGGCGCCGGTTTAGATAGAGGCCGGATTATCGGGGGTCCACTGTAGTATCATGACTGGCGCTTATGACGTGTTTTCACTGAGTCGTCCAAGCAGCGATATTTAAAGACGAGTCTCGCGGTCAGTCGGGACGATGCGATGCAACGGCGACTTGCATACGCCAAGCCCTGCCTTTGCGTCTGATAACATCGCCAGCCGGGATGTCATAGTATCGTTTATGACGCGTTCGACTGGTGTGGTTCAGCAGCGTTGCCAGATGGTCGATACTTAGGGCAGGGAGGAAACTAGCATTCGCGTCATCGAATGGATGGGGACCATGGAATGTGAGCTAATTGTATATGGGCCTGTTTGGCTAAACTGATGACCTACTTGATGCTATGTTTTGAAGACAAAGTTCAACGTTTTTCCCGTTTGACTATTTTTGCTACCATAACAGTAGCCCGTAAATGTATGATACTTTTTGAACTATACTGTGTTAAAATTCCCAAAGTTATACTATACATACATTGGTTATATTCAGTCGCGCTCAGCTGCTAAGAGTTAGAGCTGTGGGTATGGTTTAGCTCAATTGCTGATATCGCTCGCTGTCAACTGAATCTGCTGACTCTCACCATAATCTCTTTCACACACGTGACTCTTAAACCTGCTTTACAGTCCGTGCATGCAAGTTCTTGTAGTTGCAAGATGGATTTTTTTTTGCATTCAAGACAATTGCATCCAATCACTTGTAGTTGCAAGACGGTTTTGTTTCCTTGATTTAAATGAGTAAGGTTTGCCAACCTAAATGAATGAAACATTCCCTGTCGCAGTCCTCACCTATAGTTTTGATTTTGTTTTTTTACTATCCAGAATGCATGGTTTTAGTAACCAAAAACCAGCTTCAATCGTTGACCATCCAACATTAAAACACAATAAAATTATATCTGTAAACAAATATAACCATACAAACCACCAGACCGGCCTAGGGACATTTGCAACTTACTAACTATTCCACTAGAATTGCAGACAAAGTTGCATGAAAAATTCAACTGATTGCAACAGTTGCAAGAAAATCAGCTGTTTTGTTACAAAATTTATCTTGCTCTTGCCGAATGTAACACGGGAACTATCAGCTTAGTGCAATTGAAGGTAACCATGGTCTAATAATCCAAGTACTTGGGGTTCAACAAATAAATATTTGTTGCAGGAGAGCTGAAACATGGAGGACGTGCAAAAATATAAGAAAATGGAAAACGTTTTGCACAAGATCAACCAAAAGTATATTGCCTTGCCTGAACATGAAATGAAAAGGAACTCAAAGATTGTTGATCAGGTAAGTAAATTAGTTCGTGACAAACTGTCAATGTCAGAAAATCAAGATATTTTTGGCAAGGGTAAGGTCAGTAGGACAAGGCGTGGAGAAACTTACTCCATCGCGCTAGGACTTACTATTGACGGCTCAGTATGTACAGTGCTAAACTAACATTTGGCTAAATCGTTTTTATTTTAAGAAATATCAAAAAACTGATGAAATTTTTCTATTGGCATTTTTAGGCACTACATGCTGGAATTCTTAAGTTTTGTTGCCGACGGTTCATTTTTGAGAAACCATCATCAACTTTATTTTTATGTGGTCCGAAAAAAAGTACATCCTGTATCTCAAGGGCGGATTTAGGATTTCGTCTAGGAGGGGGGGGGGGCGCAAACGATATTTGGGGCTGGGCAGTTGTTAACCTCAGTGGAACTTCTAGAAGTTATCCTATTATTGCTCCTCAAATCCATTGTGTTCTATCTGGTCAAGGCCAGCTTGAAAAAAAAACATGTAAATTGCTCAGAAAGCCAATATTTTATTATATGAAAATAAGCACGTGGCATTTAAAATTAACTAGTGTAAGAATATTAAAGATTCAAACATAAAAAACGAACATGAGACCAAAAAATTCACAATATCGTATGGGTGCTAGACAAGAATAAGAAGGATGTCTGTAGACCATCTATAGATCATGTCTTGAGACCGTCTCCAGACTGCCTATAGACAAATTGCGCAATGGGGCCTACTAGTATGTAATAAGCTTAAGGATTAAGACTCTTAACTGCCTATTAAACAAATCAAGTAAATGGTGCAAATACTGACACAATCAAGCACTTCTATTATATCAGCAGTATGAGGCATGTATTCCTCCATTCCGACCTGGATAATTTCGGTTATCGAAGAACAGACAGCCGGCGCATCCTGAAACAGCGGGTTCTAACCGAAACCTAACCTCCACAACACAGTGGTCTGAGCTACCCAGGGGAGACAGGACAGCAGAGCTGTAAGCGACAGGATGCGTGGTCAGAAATAGATCCAGCAGAATACTGGCGTGTGACGAGACGCGGGGGAAAAGTAGGGTCATCCCTTGAGTAAGAGCGAACGCTTTAACTGCACGACCTTCTGCATCGGTCTTGTTTGAGCCCAACCAAAGCAAATTATGGCCATTGAAATCACCGAGGAGAACTACCTCTGAAGCGAAGTGATCGATGTTTAGGGAGTCGATCTTGACGGCGAGGTATTCGAGTAGGTCATCCCTGTTATGGTCCGAGGGGAGCGATAAAGGCAGCAAATAAATTTGGCGGATGTTTTTAGTTGAGGCGAAGCCACAGAATGTCCTTCCGGTCTGATTCCAGAGAAACATCTCTGCAGCAGGAAAGACTGCTGCGGACAAAGGCCACAACTCCCGCGTTCTTTCTCAGATTGAAGTGCACCTCGTAGTTTGGTAAGCTAAGATGGTTAATCGATGCGGACACCGAGATTTTTGTCTCCGCCAAGAAAAGCATGGCGGGACGATTGGATTGCAAATAGTGATGAACAGCATCAATGTTGCTGTTAATCCCGCAGATGTTCGTGAAACAAATTTTATCTTCGATGTTGTTCCCCCGAGCCCACCCTCCACCCGGACATCTGAGAGAAGAGTGAGCTTACATCCGGAATTCTTAGTGCTCGAGGGATCCATTATCATTAATTTTTTTGTTTTGGAAGATAACCGACTGCATAGCTTAGGTGTGGAAACATGCGGACGTTTATAAGACACCCTGGGAAAAGCTAGCGGGTGGTACCGCCTCGGTCGATTGGTCCTTATCTACCACCTTCTTTTTGCATGTTAACGATATTAAGTAGACCTAAAGTGGCCCATTGGCGGACTTGTACCTCCACCCGGCAATCGGTACTGAGGTATTCCTTAACTCATGTAAAATCACTTGAACGGGAGGAAGTTGTATGCTGGACACAACTTCCGGAACAATCATTTGCCAAGGCCTGACTTAGTAGGGGTTGGGGTTTTTGAAATTCAATATAGATGTTACAGTTATTTTTCAGACATTCGTTGTCGAACTGAGATTTACGGCATAGTTGTTTTCTCAGTTTTCGAACCGGTGTTGATCGCATGTAGAAATGTTGGAAATTCTTGGAAAAAACTATATCTGTTAGATTGTAATTATTTTGATAATGTATGCTCTTGTTAAACAAGTACAGGAATACAGGGCTATACATATTCACGTATAGGGCAGCAGCTCTCTGATTTAAACGAATTCAATATAGCAACATAAATAGACATATACATACGCGAGAAGAGATGCGGGACGTGTGGTATTGATTTTGAGCATCGATCGACGCAGTTTCTAGACAGGCAACAGGCGCACCGCTAAACAAATCTCATACATGTCTATTTCCAATTTAGGCATTCATCTAACATAGTGCTTCGCTGCAACGCCAACCCCGAACAAAATCAGTCAAGCTTTACACACTTTTAAAATTACTATTGAGCAACAAACAGAACATAAATCACTTTTTAAGTGCAATCTGTATACCTAATATATTAACCAGACTTAGATTTGTCACAAGTCACAATACTCGTATATACATAAATCGTAAGAGTTGTGCTGTAAACAAGTGATGTCAAAGAGGAACAGCTTTTGGAATACCAAAGGATTCCGAAAAATCATAATGCTCAGTTCCTATAGCTATAACTTATAGTTAGTATGCCTCCGTCACCATGATGTGACAGAAAGTAACACAATGGTGGTAGATTGCAAAAGCAAATGTCAGACGTCTAGGGAGGGGCGCGCGCCCCCCTCTAAATCCGCCAGTGCTGTATCTAATAGCATTATTTTATACGAATTCAGTTACATTTATTTTCTTGGTTATAAGGAAAAATGCGTTTTTTGTCACCGAGTATTGTTATTATTGTGCATTGTTAATATTGCTTTATTATCGTAAAAGATGTCACGCAGTTATTTTAGCAGTGAAGAAAAGTTCGACATGCTGACGTGCTATGCAGAAATGTGTCTTGATAAAGTTTCCAAAATAAGTCATCCAAATAAGTCCATTTTCTTAGAGTTGGCTCAAAATTTAAATGAATATGGTTCATTCAAAAAGTCTGTTACGTCTCGAAAAAGGAATCTTTAGAGTAAACTCAGAATAGTGTTTTAATATCACTTGCTGACAACTCTGATATATGAACACACAGCCCATTTTTTTTTGTGTAAAATAGATATCATTCCTATAAATTCAGGATTTGGCAAGTACAACCAGGGATAGCGAACAGCGCCAGCATTTTTGCGAGTAGTACATCCGAACGTGTGATGATTTTAATTTTCCTTTAAAAATCATGTGGTAAAACGAGCGTATGGCCACAAACGATGGTATCTTTATATCGTCGCAACTCATTACTACGTCCATTTATTTACCTCAACTCATCAACTGCAGAACCGTACCTTCAGTTGTTGCAACATGATTAGAAGACTGCTTGGATAATTTACCTTTGGCACAGGTTAATAGCTAGTGGTTTCAACAAGTCTAGGCAAGTTCGAGAGTATCTTCCTCAGCGATTTTTCAAAAGGCGTATTGGAACCTCCAGTAAAATATCCTTTCCAGCACGTTTAGATTTAACTCCTCTACACTTTCTATTTGAGGTTTTATAAAAAGCAAGTTTTTCAGCATACTTCTGAAACTGAGCAGCGGTTACGAGAATCTGTAATGTGTTAGAAGATCATATGCATGTTAAGAAAAGAATGGCAACCTATTTGAACACCTACAGTGGATATAATAAAAATAATATTAAAAATGTATTCCTTATTCTGAATATCACTAGATTAAGCATCATTTTATAAAATTGTACCCCATGATATAATTATGTAATATGCATCTATCAGTAATCACAATATCTTACATCAAGCACTTTTTGGTTGCAGCGCCTAGTTAAATAAAAAATACGAAAACACGTTTTCTTTATAACGAAGAAAACAAATGAAGTCACAAGTGGATAAAGGTGCACGTAACAAAATCATTGTATGGAGAAAATTGACTTTAAACATTTTTTATTGGGACTTTTTACTTTAATGAAATTTTAAATATTTAGTTTGATTAGTTTATTATCTTGTTTTTGCAACAAAGTAATCGCAGCATGAATCACTTCTTAACGTTAGTTTAATGCAAAAAAGTAATTTTAACCCAGATACCCCTACCGTCCGTTATAACAATCACCTAATATTTCGCTTCAAATTTGAAACTCTGTCACTCCGCGTTAGATAGCGTTGGGTTATTCGCTGTTAGAAACACGTGTTTAAGCGAAATTTATTGTTCTAACCTCTTAAAGGGAGAGTTCTGTATGCGAGAAAGTGTTTGGAATAACAGGTGCTTAGTTTGTTGTGAACAATGGATAATTATAGGTGAGTATACTGATAAACTATTCATATTATTTTTCCATCTTGTGAATAAGTAATTTTAGAAAACATCAATCTTTATTATTGTAAACAAATAAGTTAAAAATTTGCATCTCACCGGCAAAAATATAACCTCAAATACCGATGTCCGTTTTAACGGACAGTAGGAAAATCTGGTATTATTCGATTTTTTTCTTATATTTGCAGTTATTGGAACTATTGGAAGCGGCCCATGAAACTTCATGAACTCATGGCAGAAATTGAAAACATTGATGACGATGAGTTGGTTCCTGATACTATTGCCGTTCTACCGCCAGTTAACGCAAATGAATATAACACTGATGAGGATTCCGGCGACGAAAATGAAGTGGATATAAACAACCTCCCTGGAAGTCAGCTGATGACTGAAGTTGAGGTTGTATTTGAAAACAAGGGATCAAACCAAACTACAGTTGAGAGTGATTTTGATAGCGACGACCTTTGTCTACCTTTCTTACGAAAAAACGATCAAAATTATCAAAACCAAGTTACTCTTGGAAAAAAGGTGACATCAACCAAGATTTTCCAGAATGGGTAAACGCAAGTGGTCCAAAAATTCTTTATCTCCTTTAGAACTATTTTTTCAGTTTACAG